TTTTTTTTTTCTTTTCTTTTTTTTTTTGTATTCTACTTGTATTCCTGGTGAGTATATTGTGTGTTGCGTTATTCCGTCACACTAGTAATTTTAGGTTATATGTATTCTAAACTCATGAAATGTAACCTAATTTAGGATACATTGATCTACCAAACCTGCAATTGTCTAACCAACCACTCTAAGCACACCGCAAGGTTTCTTTTAGAGGGACATCTATAACAGAGCAGATTTGTATAGACTGTCAATTAATATGACTGTACCTCACCTCTGGTGTGTCATTGAACAATTATTTTTTAGATTGGTGATCATATATAAACAATTTTTTTTTTGGCATTTTGTAGAGGGTCTATCACCACCAGTACTGTTACAATTTAACACAAAATATATCACATGAAATAATCCTAGTTTTTTTTTTTTTACAAAACTCTGCACTTGAGTTGTTGTATAAAGTATGGACTAAAGATAGCTTAGAAAAATATAAACACTATGATTTGGCATTGTTCTATAATACATTTATTTATTAATGTATTGATTTTACTTGGATAACTCATCAATTATCAAAACTATAATACTACCAGTATTGTCAAACAGATTGTTTATCGTATTCTTTTATTATATTATTTATTATGCGAAGTGATAAATAATATAATAAAAGAATGCGGCAATTACCAATAAACAAACTGTTTGACAACACTGAATATTACTGTTGAAATATAAGCACACAATTAATGTATATATACATAGTTTACTTAAATCTATTTTAGTTAACTATTTACCAATCGACCAATTAAAACACACATAGCAATAGCAATCCTGTAAAAGACGAAACCATAGGATAAACAATAGGTAAATATAAATTTTAATAATATAACCATACTTGACAAAATATAGGTACAGTACGAGACAGCAAAAAACCTCAGATTTTTTGGCATTGTTCTAAACTTCTTTACACAAATTTTATTTAGGTAGCTCGCTTTATATTACCAGAGTTCTTAATAATTAATAATAATTACTCGGTGCTTGAGGCAGTTAGACAAAATCAGAACAATTTAACTCAAAATTTTACCAAAATACCTTGTCTTCTTAAATAAAAATATTTGCAACAAGGCTAAAAAGGTTGTTAACTGCCTGAACTATCACCGATCATACTCTAATACTAATAATTTTTAAAAAATTAATTATTTAGCCATGAAATTGCAGCTTTAAAAAGTGTATTATAAAACAAAATTCATAAAAAAAACACATCATGAAACATTCTTTTTAAAAATAATATTAAATATACAATACCTCCTAATCATTTAATAGAATATGCAAAACATATTATTTAATAGATATAAAGTAATTATATGAATAAAGTGAAAATTTGCTAAAATTTACTTTCTAAATTGCATATTACGCTACTTTTAATAGGACAAACAACGATTAGTAACTATTAATAAAACACATATATACTCAAAGTATTTGATGTCATTATTATATTCTACTGAGTTTATATAATCGATAAATAGTTCGTAAAGATCTTGCAACTCGCTAATGAAACCTTGTCATTTCAAGTGAAACAAAAATAAAATTTGCTAAATTTGTTGAAAAGAAAAATACAATTCTTTTGATTACCGTGATGCCTTTAAATTGTAAATAATTGTTCTTCAGGGTTAATACAGTTTCAAAAACTAATTGAAGTTCTTTTGATTGTTTCCAGACATAACTTCCCATAGGATCTTCACCCTTGCAGATGTCATGTTCTCCTAAAGACTCAAACTGTGAATTATAATACGGATATCGGTTATATTCTATATAAGTTTCAAATTTACCTTATATTGCTTTAGAAGAAAATCTCCATCGCTATGTTCATTTTTAAAATATCCTAAAAGCTTGCATAATGACTGTTTTCTAGTGGCAGATCCACCACAAAATCTTGTTGCTTGATAGTATAAACCTATTTTTTTTTTGAATTTTTTAGGATGAGACAATTAATTAATCTGTTTGATAATATTTTTGAATCAGATTTAGTTTTGAATTATATATATTTCTCTTTGGACACTGTTCTTAATAAATTATTATATTGCAAATTTCATTTATATGGGTAATTAAAATTTTTATTATCAATGTCAAATATTATACAAAAATTTATATTCAAGAATATCATTAGACCAGAGTATCCAACAAAATGTTCTTTTGAACGAAGAAAATTATTTTATCGCCCTTCTTTTAACAGATGGTTAGCTAATTTAAGAGAAGCAACAAGTTTATTTAAGAAATCTGAAACTGATCATTTGGACAATGATGACTATATTCAAGAAACAATAGTTATTAATCAGAATAATCAAGATAAACCTATCTATCTTCCAGACAATAACCAAAAAATATTAATAGAAGATTCAACAAATCAACAAGGTGTTACACTTTATCAATTATATTGCCAAAAAGTGGATGCTGCTATTACCTATTTTCTTTAAACTGGTTTAAAACTTTATCTTCTCATTTGTGAAGCAAAACGTCCAAATGTATCTTAACATGGAGATTATAATAAATTATGTAGAATGCTACATGATGCTGCCAATAGTTTTATTATGTATTGAGTCAAAAAAATTAGAAAGGTTTCTAATAAATTAAAGAAATTATTTTGTGAAATGCGATAGATTGGGTTATTTTCAATTGGTATTATTTTTTTGGATGACCAGATACAATCTCTACTCTTATGCTAATGAAAAATTAATGATAAATTTATTATCAAGTTTAGATGAAAAGCTTCTCCCTATGTTAGTAAAATTCGTTTTATTACATATTCAAGTTCTCATCCAATTACTATTCTAACCTTTAATAAGAATCAAAAATAGAATTATGATATTGCTAGTACTTTTTATAGATCGAGATATTAATATAAGTACTGTATGAATTTAATAACTTTTTTTAATTTTTTTAATTTTTCTAATTTTATCTTTAGGAAATTCTTCGAAAAAACATGAAAGTGATTCAAGATATTAAAAATGTAATAGATAATTTTAAAATAGAAGGATCTGAATATCTTAAAAACTCATTAGAGTACTTAACAAAGGTTATTAGTGAATCACCCCTGACTCCATACAAGTAAATATTATCCTCTCAAAATATTTTCTATTTGGATAAAATCTCTACTATTAGAGATAAAATAATAAGTATTGCTGAAAGCAAAGGAGAATTGGGGTTGGACTTGCATTTGAAGATAATAAATTTGCCCCATCTAATATGTTTAGATATAATTTGTGTATATTAATAAATCTTTTTTATTAATATATACCATATATTAATATCTAACATTATATAGTATCACTTTCATTATATTCGAAGAATATAAACAGTTACTAAACAGCTTTGGCTATGCTTCACTCTATACTATAGATGTATATTTTTAGATAAATTTGTGAAATTTTTGCATGTAAATTTTAATTTTATTCATAAAATTCATATAGCCTTGGAAGGTCATTTTCCTAGCACAGATTCCTTGGTTTTGGGTCAAAATTCTGATATCCAAAATCTCGAGAACCATAACCCAGAGGTGATAATTAACATTTAAAGATTATTAATCATATTAACAATCATTGTTAGACTTTGAATTTTTAATTATCACATTGTATGATGTCAGTATTATGACCTGTCAAGATTTTGGATGTCAGGATTTTAACCCAAAATCAGATTCTTTATATTTAAAAAATGCTACGAATCGGCTAAGTTGGTAAGAGGCATGTTAGATTTGGCGAGTTGGTTATTTATGATTGTAGGTATTATAATGTAGCAAAAGCAGGGAATTATTAGGGTCAAATTTTATTACAAGCGCGAACTACTGTTCTCATAGGGCTCGAAGCCTTTATTATATAATGTTTCATTACATATGCCCTTCTAAAAGTATTAAACCTATTTTCCGTAATATATCCCTTTAATGTCCTATATTGCTTAAAGCTCTTAATTGCTAATTGCTATATAACCCTTTAATTATAGATTTCTATTATTACTCTTATATTTGCTAATAATCCTGTAATCTTAAATGACTTATCCTAGGAACCCATATTAGGTAGATGATCAACATAGCTGCTAATTTATTATTGCGCCATATCGATCATCCCTTTTTATATGCTTCTGAGATCACGTTTTCATATCTCACACCATCAACATCAACATTATAAATAACCACGAATTTCCCTGAATTGATAGTGAATATTAATAGAGTAATCTACAAGTAACTCAAGGCTTTATTAATAAACATTTAGTCATTGCCTTTTTCGTAATTGCAAATCACATTAAATCCTCTTCAATGCTAGTATTGATTTATTAACACTATATATATATTATACAAGACGAACAAGAGATACTCGTTTGATATACTGATCAAATATATAAAGCAGACATACACATTAAATACAAGCATTTTTTAACAATTATTCATTCTACACGATGAATTATAGCAACATTTATTCAATAATTAGAATAATCTTTTTGGTACTCTTGTAATAATCTTTTTGGTACTCTTGATTATGAGAAATAGCGACAGTATTAAAAATGACAATAGTGTTAATGGAATAATATTAACGTTAATCCAGTCATTAACGTTAATATTAATCTAGACTTTTCTCATCTTTCGCATTGCGATTATTTCTGCCAAGATCAAACTGTTTCTTATTGGAAAGTTTTTTCAAAGGTAGCTCACTTACTTCACCAATTAAATATGCAAATTTATATTTATAATATACTATCAAATCACAATGATGACCAATTATTTTTTTATTCTTATTTAAGCTAATAAATTTGTAAATTCATTTTCTCTGAGCAGATCCGACTGATGTTATCTCTCTACTAATATTTAATAATACATATTAGCTAAAAATAACTAATTATGATTCTTAAAAATTTAAATTAATACTCACAATAAAGTATAGAAGTTATTATTAATATGTATTAATGACTTGAATATAAAACTATAAACTTGTATCTGAGATATATTGTTGTTCACTAATTTTGTTTACTTTATATGAGTTTGACCAAATACAGTCAGACCTCTCTATAGTCACACTTTATATAATCACACCTCTATATAAGCATCTGATTTTGTTAAACAAACTATCATAAAAATATATATATAACCTCTATATAAGCACAACCTCTTTATAAGCACATTTTTAAAAAAAAGTTACTATCATCCCAACTATGTGATTATATAGAGGGTTGACTGTAAACTGCTTTCTAGATATAAAAAAAATCAGATAAGCCACATATATGAAATAATAAATTTCATTTACATATTAATTTGCTTATATATGATCCAATATAATTTAATATATTTCATACTGTATCCTCTCTTCATGCTTGCAGCTTGGTGAGATTTCAGGCTTTTTTAAATTATTGTATAGAGGTGTACTATTAAAATTGGTATAGTAGACCAGAATATCTTTGATATAACCCGATATATATAGCGAACTAGTATCATTGACCAGAAGAGATTTTTTTTAGACAGATAGTCCATATATTTATTGGATATTTTTCTCTTTAGTTTAGCATCTAGATTGTAAATACAAATAACATCACTTTTAATAGGGCTATCAAAACAATAGAAGTTAATAACTACAACTAAAATATTTATATATTATAAAATTGAATCTAGCACTGGTCGAAATTTTT